TCTGATTCCTTCCACTCTCTCCTGGCTTGTAGAGTTTCTACTGAAAAGTCTGATGATGGTCTAATGGGCTTTCCCTTACAGGTTACTGATTTTTCCCCCTGGCTTCCTTGAGAATTCTTTCTTTGTCATTAATTTTTGACAGCTTCAATACAGTGTATCTTGGAGAAGACCTGTTGGGATTGAGGTAATTAGGTGTTCTGTTTGCTTCTTGGATGAAGAATCCAGTTCTTTCTACAAGTTTGGGAAGTTCTCATCGACTGTTTTTTGAATATACTTTCTGTTCCCTTCTCTTTTTCTTCTGGTGTACCCCTTATTTCTATGTTGCTCTTTCTCATGGAGTCAGGAAGTTCTTGTAGAGTTCTTTCATTTCTTTTAATTCTCAAGTCTCTCTCTTTTCCATCTGTATCATTTCCAGATTTTTATCTTTGATATTACTAATTCTTTCCTCCATCTTATCAGCTCTATTACCTAAGCTGGCTATTTCATTCTTCATTTCTTCGATTGAGTTCATCATCTCCAGAATTTCCTTTTGGTTTATATTTTTAGTTTCCATCTCTTTGGTCAAATATTCATTTTGTTCTTTGATTGTGTTTCTGATTTCATTAAACTGCCTATCTGTGTTTTCTAGCATCTCATTGATTTTTTTCAGTACTGCAATCTTGAATTCTCTGTTATTAAACCACACATTTCCATGACACTAAATTCATTTTCTGGAGAGTTTTCATTTTCTTTTTTTCTTTCTTTCTTTTTTTTAGCTAGGTCATCCTGCCACTGGTTGGCAGCTCAGCGGCAGCTCAACTTGGGCCGGGACTTGAACCGCTGTTGCTCAGAGCTCACACTCTAGAGCGAGCTCTTAACCAACTGAGCCACTCGGCCAGCTCGTTTTCATTTACTTTCTATGCTGCCTTGTTACCTTGGTTATTCATGGCAATTAATTAATTATTATTTCTCCTCCTGGGCATCTACAAGAGTGGGTTCTGCAGCAAGTTGATATGCAGAGGTCTTTCTTTTGCTTTCCAGTAGGTGACGGTGGAACACTTTATTTTCTCTCTCACTGTAGCCTTTTATATTCTCTTGCACTGTTCTGTTTTTTCATGCAATAAAAGGTGGGCTTCTCTCTGTAAGCATGTCGCCTGACTCTCAGGGCACCGCCTCCTTGGGAGGTTGTGGAGGGTGATCGAGTTCTGAGCTTCTCAAATCCCAGTGCTGTCCTGCAAACCAATGCAAACCCTGTGTGCCTCAGTGGCTCTGGTTGTTTCCTCAGGGATCTGCCCAGAACGGTGAGGGTAGGGTGGGCTGTGAAAGGTGGCTGGTGTATTTGTGGGTCCAAGCAATGGTTACTACCAGTCCACAGCTGTCTCGCCCCTACAGCACTTTTCCTATCACCAGAATTAGTCGTGCTATGTGTTTGGGGTTGGGGAATGTCTCTCCCATTCTCTAGGCTGTGGATATTCTGCTCTTTAATCTGATACTGCTACTGTTTCTTCTGGAGCCTGCTTCTAGCACTGAGAGTGTGGGAGTGGGGAGAGCTCTGGAAGGGTGAGGGGGTTAGTCGGCCATGCTCTGTGTCTTTGTTTTCTGCCTGGCAGTGAGGGCTTCAACCACAGTTCTCAGCTGTGTTCTCTGCCCCAAATGCTCAGTCATATTATATGCTGACCCCTTAAGCAGGATTGTGGGTCACAGAGGATGCCCTGCAGCCTGGATTCTTTCCTGTCCCAAGACTGCAGTGAGCTTCGGACTGCGTCCTGCTGCCTGTTGCACACATCTCTCCAGTTCCCCTTTCTTCCTCCCCTGCTCATCCAATTTGCTAAACTTCAGGTGATTCAATGCTTGGATCTCTCAGATGTGCTTGTGTGTTGCTTAAGTTATTTTTTGTTGAATTATATCTGTACAATTTGTTGTATCGCCCAGAGGAGATTTCAAGAAGCACTTCTCTTACCACCATTTCTGTGATGTAATCCCACCTATTTTAAATCGTGAAATCTATTTTGTGCACTATAAGTATGGCTACACCCACTTTTATCCGGATGCCATTTGCTTGAAGTATCATTTTCCATTCTTTCAATTTTGAGTTTATATTTGTCCTCGCAGTTGGATGTGTCTCCTGAAGGCAGCATATAAATGGGTTTTGTTTTTTGATTCAATTTGCTGCTCTGTGTCTTTTTGTTGGTGAATCCAGTTCATTTACATTTAGGATGATTATTGATATATGAGAATTTTCTATAGTCATTTTATCTTTTGCATTCTGGTAGCTCTGTCTCTTCATTGTTTCTTTTCCCTTGTGTTTCTGTCTATTATTTTAGTTTGGTGGTATTCTATACTTTTTTCTGCTTTCCTCTGTTTTATGGTATATATCTCAGGTCTAGGTTGTGTGTGTGTGTGTGTGTGTGTGTGTGTGTGTGTGTGTGCGCGCTTACCATTAAGTTTATGTAAAAGAAAGTTTCATATATAAAATAATCTTTTTTGCTTTGATTACATATTATCTCTATTCCCCTGTGCAAATTCAAACCATTATCCTCTTCCCTTTTATGTTTTTGTTATCTCAAATTACCCTTTTTTATGCTGTGAGTTGATTTCCAAATTGGAGTAGCTAGGGTCATCTTCTTTCTTTTAAAAATGTTTTTACCTCCTTTAACCTTTATATTATATTTAAGTGTATAATACCTGATTCAGAACAAGGGTTGCAATTTCCTGTTTCTGTCTGGCTATGAGTCGTCTTACTCATAGTTTTGTATCCTTTTGTCTTTTTGTTTCAGGTAGAATAACCTCCTTCAGTATTTCCTGTAATTCAGGTCTTGTGGTGGTAAATTACCTCAGTTTCTGTTTGTCTGGAAGAGTCTTTATTTCTCCTTCATATCTAAAAGATAACTTTGATGGGTATATTATTATTGGCTGGTGATTTTTCTCTCCCAAAAGTTTAAATACTTAGTTCTGCTCTCTTCTGGCTTGTAGGGTTTCTGCTGAAGAATCTGGGCTGCCTGTGTTGTAACTGTCTCTGTTCTTCCTCTTTCTCTCCTCCCCTATTCTCTCTGGTTCACCCACCTTCAGTTGTTTCAATGGGTGGATCTCTCAGATGTGTTTGTGTGTTGAGCAGGAAATCCTTTGTTGAATTATAGCTGTTCAACTTGTTGTAACTTCAAGGGGAGGGACCTGGAGGACCTCTCATGCCATCGTGCTGCTGATGAGCTATTCTGAATTATTTGTTCATTGACATCCATTTCTTTATGATCTGTTACTCTAGCATTATTATTTTCCTTTGATGGTGACATCTTTACCAGATTCTTCACGACCTGTGTAGGCTTGCATTGGTGTCTCTGTTTGAAGGAGAAGACATTTGTTCCACTCTTTACAGACTGTTTTTACAGGTAAAGATCTTCTGCTATATCCCTTGACTGATAGGACTGCCTGCAGGATCATGGTCTAGCAGAGCTGGAGTCTGGTCATGGTGCTGCTGGGTCAGCTGTGGTGTCTGTGGTCAGTGGGCCTGTTAGCAGGAGTATGCATTAGTGTAGCTCCTGCTGGGTTCCTGGGTGGGCAGGATTGCCTCCTGAGTGTGGTAGAATGGAGTTGGAGCTAGGTCACAGGGCTGCTTCAGTTCTATAGTCAGGTTCACATTTAGCCTTCCTGTTACCTGGGCGTGGCTCCTTCTGGGTGCCTGGGTGGACAGGACTGCCCCCAGGAGCATAGTGGTGCAGGTTTGGATTCAGGTGATGGAACTGCTTCTGCATTTAAGTTATGTCCACAGTTGCCAGACCTATTACTGAGGGCACGGATGGCTATGGGGTTCTTTGGTGGATGGTATTAGTGACAGCACCATGGATAAGGAGGGCTGGAGCCAAATCTACAGAAGGATGGAGCTGCTTCCAGGTCTGCAGCTGAGACCACAGGCAGAAGGCTGCCTCTGGGGCCTGGACCCGACTTCTCTTATTGGCCCTCCTCAGTCTTTGGCTCCACTAGGGTTTTGCAACCTCTCATCTGGATCACAAATCTTCCACAAGGGCACTAGTGTGGATGGATGTCTGGTAAATCAGTGTTTCTGTGGGAAAGCAAATATTGGAGACTTTTTATTCTGCCATCTCAATGATGTCAGGTAGGAATACAGACATCCCCAAGATGATAGGATAAAAATCAGTTACCATCACCCCTTAGCATTTGCTAAGATTCTTGTATCTCAGAAGAAAACCTCTAGTAGGAAGTGATCAGAAAACTCAGCTGTCTTGTAAACTCCCCATGAGAACTCACTCTCTCTCAAGTTTATTGACAAATCCTAGGGTTTCAATACGAGATGGCTAGGACCACCCCACGTCACCCCCACCCTGTTATGACTCTCTGAGCTTTCTTAACATCCAGACTTATCTTTCCCGTTTAGATTCCCTAAGATATTCTTGGAATTTTTTGCCATCAAAAATTATCAGAAAAATAAAATGTGAAACCATAAAAGTGAATGTTACAATGTCTATATTTTAAATATTGTGCCATCAGTCTGTCTATAGGTTGACATGTATTCATGGATACAGCCATCATAACTTTCCCTACTCTCAGTAATTTGAGGATTTTTTTCTTGAGAGAGACGTTGATCAAAATTTGAGCCCCAAATATCTCAGGATGGCTTTCTAGCTGTTTGTAACTGGTAGGGCTCTAACTTTTCATAGCCTGTGTTCCTGTGTTAGATCTTTTCTTCATACCTCTTCACTGAAGTTTGAATCCTTATGTATTGTGCAGTTTCCTTTGGCCATGTAGATCCTAGTTCCCTAGATGAGGACTTCATTTCTCTAACCAACCCCAAAATACATGTTTTTGGTATTTAGCCATTACAAATGATCCGTCTTCAGAAACTCACTCATGGAGGTCCCGTTCTGACACTGACTATGAAATCTTCTCTCTATTTCCCATTACTGGGAAAAGGAAAACGATAACACCACTGTTTATGACATGCTACTTCTAGTTGCCAACCTGTGATCATGAACACTTACTTGTTTTTTTTTTCCTTTTTCTTTTAGGATTTGTGCGTCTGGTTGGAGGGGATGGACCCTGCTCAGGACGAGTAGAAGTGCATTCTGGAGGAGACTGGACTCCAGTGTCTAACAGAAACTTTACGTTCCCCACTGCCCAGGTCATCTGTGCAGAGCTGCAATGCGGCAAAGCTGTGTCTGTCCAGGTGGATGTGCCCTTCAGAAAGTCAGATGGACGGGTCTGGGATAAAGAGTTCAGGTGTGAAGGAGAAGAGACAAGCCTCTGGTTCTGCCCTAGTGTGCCCTGTCTAGGAGTCCCTTGCCAGCACAGTGGCACTGTTCAAGTTGTGTGTTCAGGTGAGATGTAGAGCAGGACTTTAACTTCCCTGCATACTCTGTTGGGAAAACGTGAGGTTTTGTTAAAATCCTCTCTTGTCCACCAGCATACACAGAAGTCCGGCTCATGAAAAATGGCACCTCTCAGTGTGAGGGACAAGTGGAGATAAAGATTTCTGGAGAATGGAGAATGCTCTGTGCTTCCCACTGGTCTATGGCCAATGCCAATGTTGTCTGTCATCAGCTCGGTTGTGGAGTTGCCATCTCTACCCCAAAAGGAGCATGCTTTGTGGAAGGAGGTGATCAGATCTGGAAAGCCCAATTTCACTGTTCAGGAGCTGAGTCCTTCTTATGGAATTGCCCTATGACTGCCCTGGGCATTTCTGACTGTACCAATGGAAACACAGCCTCTGTGATCTGCTCAGGTAAGAAAGAGGAAGGGTAACTGATATTTAGGATGTACCTTGAGAGAAATGTTCCTAAGAGCAGAAAGTGTAAAAAAACTGTCTTCAGAAGTAAGATATTTTATGGTGAAACATAGTTCTTCTCATTGTTCATTCATTTTTTAAGTCAAGGCAAGAAGTAATAAGAGGAATAATATTTTTTTAAATAAACAATATTATTTAAGTATAATCACAGATAACAATTTATGAGCAATAAGTGTATACCTTGGTCATACCTCAACTCAGATTAATAAAGAGAAGATTATAGCACCCAGCCCAGAAAGTCAGCTTTTTATCCCACCAATCACTCTACCTTTTCTCCTCTACAAAGAATAGGTCCTGAAAAAACTAGAAGAAGAAGAATAAACCAACTCCAAAATTAATAGAAGGAAGGAAATAACAATGTCAGAGCACATATAAATGAAAAGGAAACTAAAAAGAACAAAGAAAAGATCAATGAGAACTGACTCTGGGTGGTGAACACACAATGTGATATATAGATGATGCATTACAGAATTATACAACTGTATCCTATGTAACTTTATTAACCATTGTCACCCCAATAAACTTTAATTAAGAAAAAAATCGGGCCGGCCGAGTGGCGCGATGGTTAAGAACTGGCTTGGGACGCCAGAGGGCCCCGGTTCGGATCCCACATATGAGGGCCAGTGACACTGCCCTCTACAGCTAAGATGCTAAACAACAGCTCAACCTGGAGCTGGGCTGCCATGACTCGCCGGCTAAGCTGCAGCCCCTGCTGCAGTGGGTTGTCATAGGCTACCGTGTGTAGCCAGCAGCCAGCGTGAGTCCAGAAGCCGGAGACTGATCTGCCTCACCAGGGAAGAGCGCAAAGATGGTGCCAACTTGGGCCAGTGAAGCAACGTCCTCCACAACTAGACTGAAGAACAAAACAACAGCAACTTATCTGTTCCCCTTCCCCCAATTTCCCAGCACTGTTCCCATTCCCCCAATTCCCCCCCCAAAAAAAATTAAAAAAAAAATCAATGAAATTTAGAGCTGATTAAAAAAAAGATAACCAAAATAGAAAAACTTTTAGGTGGACTAAGAAACAAAGAGAAACAAATAAACAAAATCAGAAATGAAAGAGGAGACGTTACAACTGATACCACAGAAATACAAAGGATCATGAGACTACAATAAAAAATTATATGCTAACAAATTGGGTATCCTGGAACTAATGGATAAGTTGTTAGAAACATGGAATCTACCAAGACTGAACTAAGAAATAGACCAAGAAACAGAAAATCTAGAGACTAGTAAGAAGTAAGGAGGTTCAATCAATTCTCAAAACGCTTCCAACATAGAAAAGTCCAGGGGAGATGGTTTTACTTGTGAATTTTATCAGACAAAGAAGAATTAATACCAATTGTTTTTATTAATTTCCAAAAATAGAAGAGGAGGAAACACTTTCAAATTTATCTTACGAGGCCAGCATTACCCTGATTCCAAAGCCAGATAATGACACTAAAAGGAAAAAGAAAACTATAGACAAATATCCCTGGTGAATATAGATGCAAAAATTTTCAACAAAATATTAGCAAACTGAATTCATCAACACATTCAAATTATCGTGTACCGTGACCAAATGAGATTTATTCCTGGGATGCAAGGATGGTTGCACCAAATGTGATGCATTACATTAATACAGTGAAATATTAAAAAAACAAATGACCATCCCCATAGATGTAGAAAAAGCCTTTGACAAAATACAACATTCTTTCATCATGAAACCCTCAACAAATTGGATATAGAAGAAACATATCTCAACAGAAAAAGGGCCAAATGCACAGCTAGTATTATACTCAAGTGTGAACAGTTGAAAGCTTTTCTTGTAAGAACAGAAAAACTACAAGTGTGCCCACTCTCACCACTCTTATTCAACATAGTACTGGAAGTTCTAGCTAGAGAAACCAGGCAAGATAAAGAAATAAAAGGCATCCAAATTGGATAAAGTAAAATTGCCATTATTTGCAAGTGATATGATCTTATATGTAGAATATCCTGACACTACTGAAAAGCAGAAATAATCAACAAATTCAATAAAGCTGCAGGATATAAAATCAACTTACAGAAATTAGTTGCAAACATCTGAAAAACAAATAAATAAAATGATCCCATTCACAATAGCATAAAAAAGGTTAAAATAAATTTAAACAAGGAAGTGAAAGATCTGTACAATGAAAACTGCTAGACTTTGCTGAAAGAAATTGAAGAAGACCCAAACAAATGGAAAGATATCATGTGTTTATTAATCAGAAAAATTAATATTGTAAAAATGTCCATACCATCCAAAGGCATCTACACATGCAATGCAATCTCTATGAAAATTCCAATGGCATTTTTTCACAGAAATAGAAAAAGAATCCTAAAATTTGTATAGAATCATGAAGACCCCAATTAGCCAAAGCAATCCTGAGTAAGAAGAACAAAGGTAGGTGCATTACTCTTCCTAATTTCAAAGTATATTACAAAGCTATAGTAATCAAAATAGCATTATATTGTTATAAAAATAGGCATATAGATCAATGGAACAGAATAGAGGGCCCAGAAATAAACCCATGCACATATGGTTAATTAATTTATTGGGTTGTCGGAAAAGTCATGATACATTTTTGCAATGAAAAACATAGAAAAAATACATCATGACTTTTCTGATAACCAAGTACAATAAAGGATCCAAGAATATATAATGTGGAAAGGATAGTCTCTTCAATATATGGTGTTGGACACATGCTAAAGAATGAAACTGAATCCTTACTGAACCTCATACACAAATCAACTCAAATGGATTAAAGATTTGCATGTGAGATCCGAACCATAAAAGTCCTAGAATAGAACACAGGGTGTAAAGTCCTTGATGTTAGTCTTGGCAACGATTTTTTGGATTTGACACCAAATGCAAGGAACAAAAGCAAAAATAAACACGTGGGACTGCATCAAACTAAAATGCTTCTATACAGCAAAGGAAACTGTCACCAAATAGAAAGACAACCTCTGGAATGGGAGATGATTGACAAGTGGCAAATAAGGGGGAAAAAAGATACTCAATATGACTAATTATTAAGAAAATTTAAATTAAAGTATGAGGTCTGACAATTAAGTTTGCGAACTTATTGCAATGACATTTCTAACTTTTTTTGATATCAGAGGGATTATTCATTATGAATTTGTACTAACTGGACAAACAGTTAACCGAGTTCACTACTTCTTGGAAGTGCTGAAAAAGCTGCGTGAAAAAGTTAGATGCAAACGACCTGAACTTTTTGTCAACAATTCATGGCTCTTGCATCACAACAATGCACCAGCTATTGTATGATTTTATTAAATTCTAGAAAACATAAAAGTAATCTATTTTGATAGAAAGCAGATCAATGTTTGCCTGGGTCTGGGTTCGTCGGTGTTGCTATTAACGGCAGTATCCATAGGACTAATTTTTGGGATCTGGTACTCGGCATTCTAACTTTGGAGGCCGGTTCATAAGTACTTATCCTTTTCGCAGCTCTTAAAATTGACTTCTTAAATAGGGGTATTTAATTGCCTGAAAATTATACCTCAGTAGAGTTGATTTTACTGTTGGTCTTTTGTTTGTTTCTAGCTTGATTATATTTGGCGCAAAACATTTTCAATAATTTCAGTCCTCTGAAAAATTTTTGGATATTACATTTTGTATAACAGGTGATCAGTTTTGGTAAATGACCTGTAGGCCCTTGGAGTAATGTATATTCTGTGATTTTGAGGTGCATATTTATTGTCACGCAATTCAAATATTCTAAATATTTACTGACTGGATTTGCTAGTTTGCTCCATCAGTTACTGAGATTGATAAAAGATGTTTTCTGGTTACTATTGCTGCATAACAAATTGCTTCAAAATTTGGTCCTTAAAGACAACAATTTATTTTTCAGTAATAGAAATACCTTTCCATTTTTCTCCAGGCTTCAATTAATTTTTTCTTATTTTCCTTTAGGTCTCTATGACCGGATTGTTCCAACTCCACCGGTTTTTTCCCAAGGGTCTTTTTGGGCTCCTCAGCTTCCTCCCTGTTCTTTGTTCCCAAAACCAAGTTACAATGTTTAAGTGGCCTTCCAGGTTTGGGCCATTAAAGATAAAGATGCTATGAACATGCATGTACACATCCTTTTGAAGACAAACATTTTCATTTGTCTTTAGTAAATATTTAATAACATGGTAAGTGTAAGTGTTCTGGTTACTCTTGCTGCATAATTAACACCCTACCCCCCCCCCCCCCAATTATCAGTTTAAAACTCTTTTTTGTTTTGCTCATGATTTCCTTAGTCAGGAATTTAGGAAGGGCTCAGCTGGCAGTTCTTTTGGGATATCTAATGAGGTTGCAGGGGCTAATGTCTGAAGACTCAGCTGGGCTGGGAATCCAAGATGGTTTACCAACATCGCTGGTAGCTGGACGTTCAGCTGGTTGTTGTCCAGAGCTCCTGCATGTGACAGTCTCTCCAGCATATGGTCTTCACAGGGAGACTTTCCCTAAAGCAAATGTTCTAAGTGAATTCAGGGGAGGCTGCACGGCTTTTCTGACTGGGTGTTGAAACTCAGGTGGTGTTAACTTGACTGTGTTCTATTGCTTAAAAGCAATTCATGATGGTCAACTGAGATTCAAGGAAAGGAGCCATAGATGCCACCTCTCAACTAATGCAGTATGAAAGATTTTGTGGATATGTTTAAAAACCACCACAGATATACTAAATATCCCATTGTGATTGTCAATTTTTAAATTTCTACTTTTAGTTCTGTCAGTTGTGGGTTTATGTAACTAGGACTTAGTATATATGTGTGTTAAACCTTTCAGCATGTCTTTATGTTTTTTTCATATTTTCAATTTTTTGTCTTTCTATGCTTCTGTTTGTATAATTTTTCTGGTCTTCCATTGCTATTTCAGTCTTGTGCTTATCTAATGTGCTGTTACATTCATCTTTGGAGTTCATATTTCAAATATTGGCTTTTCAGCTCTAGAATTTTTATTTGATTCTTAGTTGTCATTTCTTTGCCATAATACTATCTTGTTGTTTAATTCTTTGAGTATTTCAACCATGGTAACATAAACTCCCTGTCAGGTAACTCCAATAGCTGGGTGCCCTGTACATTTCTTTGAATCCCTTTTTATTCTCTTGGTTTTCCTCAAATCTCTCTTCTTTTATGCCTGTGTATTTTGGATTGAAAGACATTGTAGATAAAAAATTGTAGAATGCCTTCAGAAAGCTATTTATTTTGCTTCCTCCAGGAACCTGAGTTAGGGGTGGATCACCTGATTTAAAAGGAAGTGAAGTGATTAGAAGTTGGGCAGCCATCCTGTAAGGAATGGTCTATTTTTAGTTCACGCTTTCATCTACGGTACAAAGGTTCTGGTTAACAAGGTTTGTCCTCTGTGGCCCACTGTGAATTACACTTTGTGTTCCCCAAGCCCTGCGAGTCTGGCAAAATATCTGCTGAGCTTTTCAGAGTGTCTGTTATAACCTCTGAATTGACAAAGTCCTCAGGGAGTAAGTGGCTCAGCTCTGCACTTTACCTCTCTCTGTGAGCCTGGCTTCAAAAATCCTCACCGCCTCAGTAGCTCTACACTTTCAAACACTATTGATATAGTCCCACCTTTGTAAACTCACTCTTAGTGCAATGCTTAGCTTAAAACAGAAATTTTGTTTCCATAGCTTGCCTATTATGAAAATGCTGCAATGAACTTAGGTGTACATGCATCTTTATGAATAAGTGTTTTCAAATTTTTTAGGTAGATTACCCAGAAGAGGGATTACTGAGTCATAGAGTGGATCTATTCTTAAGTTTTTGAGGAAACTCCATATTGTTTTCCAAAGTGGTTGCACCAATTTGCATTCCAATCAGCAGTGTGTGAGGGTTCTCTTTCTACATATTCACTCCAACACTTATTTTTTATCTTATTGATAATAGCCATTCTAACAGGTGTGAGGTGGTTTTCATTGTAGTTTTGATTTGTGCTTCCATTTTGTAACTAGTAATGTTGAGCACCTTGGCATATATCTGTTGGCTATCTGTATATCTTCCTTGGACAATAGTTTATTCAGGTCCTCTGCCCATTTTTTTTTTTGAGTTTATTTATTTATTTATTTATTTATTTATTTTTTAAATTTATTTATTTATTGTTAGTTTCAGGTGTACAGAACAATGCAATAGTTACCCTTTTCACCCTCACAAAGTCTGCCCATTTTTAAGTCAGATTTTTGTTGTCATTGTTGAGTTGTATGAGTTCTTTATATATTTTGAATATTAACCCCTTTTTGGAATTATTATTTGCAAATATCTTCTTACATTTGGTGTGTTTCTTTTTTGTTTTGTTGACAATTTCTTTTGCTGTGCAAAACTCTACAGTTTGATGTAGTCCTATTCATATATTCTCTTTTAGTTCCCTTGCTTTTGGGGTTAAGTTCACAAAAATCTTCTCTGAGACCAGGGTCCATAAGTTTAGTGCCAATGTTTTCTTCTCTGTGTTTTATTGTTTCAGGTCTTACATTTAGGTCTTTAATCAATTTTGAGTTAGTTTATGTGTATGGTGTCAGATAGCAGTCTAGTTCATTCTTTTGCATGTAGCTTTCCAGTTTTCACAAACACCAATTTTTGAAGAGACTGCCTGTCTCCATGTATGTATTTTGCTCCTTTGTCAGATAGTAAAGACATGGAAACAGCCCAGGTGTTCTGCCTTGGATGACTGGAAAGAGAAGATATGGTACATATGCCTATTATGTAATAGAATACTACTAAGACACTAAAAAAAGATGAAATATTGCCATTTTGGAGAACATGGATGGATCTTGAGAGTATTATGCTAAGTACAGTAAGTCAGATGGAAAAAAATGAGAACTGTATGACTACACTCATATGTGGAATATAAAACAAAAACCAACAAATGAAGCAAGCAAGCAAGCAAGCAACCAACCAACCAAACAAACAAACAAACTCATAGATAAAATAGAATGGTGGTTACCAGAGGGGCAGGGGTTCAGGGGGAGGACCAAGAGGGTAAAAAAGGACAAGTACTTGGTAACAGAATAAGAATAGATTTCAGGTGACGAGCACACAATAGAGTAAACAAATATCGCATTTTAAAGTTTACATCTGAAATTTATATGATGTTATTAACCAGTTACCCCAATACACTTAATAAAAAACAAATCTTGGCATTGTTGGAAGCAGAACCCTCCATAAAGAAGGTGAACTCAAATTATGATCAAATTACTGTGTTACACAGCTTTCATCTCAGACCCCATCACTAGGTTACTATTCGTTTAATTCAGTTTCCTATTTTTCAACAGTACTAACCTGAGCACTGGTGTTTCTGTAGGAAACCAAAGCCAGGTGCTGCCCCAGTGTGATGACTCCATGTCTGAACCAGCAGGCTCTGCAGCCTCAGAGGAGAGAACTGTCAACTGCTCAGGTGAGGGGTCCCACAGGACCAGAAAGCCCTTCTCTCCCCCTGGTAAGAGCCCCACTGGCACGACTCTCTCTCCTCAGAGAGCAGACAGCTCCGTCTGGTGAACGGTGGTAATCGCTGTGCTGGCAGAGTGGAGATCCTTCACCAGGGCTCCTGGGGCACCATCTGTGATGACAGCTGGGACCTGAACGATGCCCACGTGGTGTGCAGACAGCTGGGCTGTGGAAACGCCCTCAATGCCACGGTCTCTGCTCACTTCGGGCAGGGATCAGAGCCCATCTGGCTGGATGACGTGAACTGCACGGGAAAGGAGTCCCACCTGTGGAAGTGCCCTTCCCGGGGCTGGGGGCGGCACAATTGCTGGCACAAGGACGACGCAGGGGTCATCTGCTCAGGTGTGTGCCGCACTTTGTCCCAGGCTGTGGGAGGAAGTGGGGGCTCTTGAGGATGGAGTCTGAGCCCTGAGCAGGTGTTGCTGAAAGGGCCAGAGGAGAAGGAAGCTTCCTTGCACAGGGCCTTCTTTCTAGCAGATTGGAAGATTGTGTTTTATTTGCTCCTGCAGCAGCTGAGGCTCTGTTCCTTCCTTCTCAGCAATACCGACTGGCAGAGCCATTTCCTACAGAGCTTCCGTGTGAAAGCAGGGCGTACTCTTCAGTTACCTATGGTAGTAAAATCTTGAGTCCCATTATACTTGTTTCCATTTGTTTCTGTAATGAATTACCACTTAATTGGTGGTTTAATACAACATATATTTATTATCTTGCAGTTCTATAGATTAGGTATCCAACACACATCTCACTGGGCTTATATGAGGGTGTCAGCAGGGCTGTATCCATTCTGGAGGCTCTGGAAAGAATTCGCTTCTTGTTTTTTCAAGCTCTAGAAATTGTACATTCCTTGGCATATAGCTGCTTCCTTAATCATCTGACAAGTAATGTCGCATATCCATTACCATTTTTCCATAGTCACATCTCTCTCTAACCAAAGCCAGGAAAGGTTTTCCTCGTTAAAGTGAGTGGGTCTAGGAGTGTGATTAGATTGGACTCACATGGTTAGTCCACACATCCCAGATTAACTTCATAATCCTTAATTATGTCTGGAAAGTCCTTAATTATGTCTGGAAAGTCCCTTTTGCCAATAAGGTAACATGTTCCCAGGTTCCAGAGAGTAGGGTGTAGACCTCTTTGGGGTCCATTATTCTGCCTACCACCCACTATCCACACTCCCTTTCACATACTCTGTCAGAAGTTCTGTCAGTAATCAAGATTCAGCTTTCCCTCTGTGCAGTGTCCAGGTTGGTGTTCCTCTCAGTTCATATTCTAATGCATCATTGTGGTGGAAATTGTCTATTTCAAAAATGAATAAAGTCAAGGAAAAGGGAGACAAATTTCAATCTTGCTGAGGTGTTTCCTCAGCAGAGTCAGCAATGAGTGTTCACAATCTCTGGAAAAGAAAAAACCCCAAAGCATTTTGTGGCATGCTCACTGTGCCTTCTTCCCCTCTTTCATTTTTAGAGTTCGTGGCCCTCAGGATGGTGAGCGATGACCAGGAGTGTGCTGGGTGGCTGGAAGTTTTCTACAATGGGACCTGGGGCAGTGTCTGCGACAGCCCCATGGAAGCCATGACCTTGTCCACCATCTGCAGACAGCTTGGCTGTGGGGACAGTGGGACCCTTAACTCTTCTGTTGGTTTTAGGGAAGGTTCTAGACCCCAGTGGGTGGATGGAATTCAGTGTCGGAAAACTGATATGTCTCTCTGGCAATGTCCTTCTGACCCTTGGAAAAACAGTTCATGCTCTTCAAAGGAGGAGGCTTATATCATGTGTGCAGGTGAATAATGCCTGTTTCTGTGTGGCTGTCTCACCCCTGTAGGATGAGATTTCATATTTTCAAATCTAAGTGACCCATTTTAAGAGAAGCATACAAAACATAAATGAATGAAAATGGTTTAATCCACATGTTGTAATCTAGTTTCAAAGAAAAAATAGGGAAACCTGTGCTGACAATAATTTACGTGAAAAATATCAGGGAGATTGGAATGAACATGTGGCCAGCATGAATAATACTTCGATAAACTTTTTAAAGGAACTGATAACTAATTAAGTGTAAATGATATGCCAGCACCTTAAAGTAAGGGGCAGAGCAGAAAATCAACCCTGATTGCTCTGTCTCTTAAACTCATGGTATTTTACTTTGAAATTGTCTATTAGACTACTTGTCAAGTCGATCTGTTGGTTGATAATAATTGAGTGCTTTGCAGGTACAAATTTATATTCCAGGCAAGAAGACAGAGAAGGAAATAGAGTCACTGCTGTCATGGAGTTTACAACCCAGTTTGGAAACTCTCATTAGGCAGAAATTTCAAGTGTCATGAAGAATGAGGAAGTGCTTAGAAGTGTGCAGTTGGTGCAAAAGAAAAAATCATAGTTAGATGGAGACCTGAAAGAGGAGTGAGATTTTCTCAAAGGAAAAAAGTGGGAAAGTCTTTTTGGTCAGTATACCATTTTCCCTTGTTTTCAGCTAAGCCATCCTGCCACCTGTTGGCAGGTTTTTGGTCAGTATAAATACTGAGTTGGGAGGGACATGGTATCTATTAGTGCTGAGAAGATTCCATCATGGTCAGAGCAGAAAGAGGGTGAGGGGAGACATTCCTGTTGGCTGTCACATCACGGAGAATTGCTGGGAGGTCAGTGACCTAGATTCCTCACACCTTTTTGCTTGAATTTCTCTCTTCCAAGAGGCCCTCAGACTCCCAGTCTTCTTGGCCGATCTCTTATTCTCTGTGCCTTTCTCCTTCATTACTGTGTACTTTTCTGCTCCCCTCATTCTACTCCCCCAAATCTTCAGAGCCTGCTCAAATTTGGAGACCATTATTTTCAAATTCCCTTACACCCTCTATGTTACCATCACTTTTATGTTCTGATCAAAACCTGGCTTTTTTCTGAGAACACCAATTTCCCTATCAACCAGAGGCTGTGATTTTGTTTGTCTTTCAACAGACTTTTCTCTGGTTAGGCATGCTCTTTGCTCTCAGTTGTCGTTTTCAAGAGTTCCTCTTCTGTTTGTTCTCAACATCCAGTTATTCTGAAATTCACACCATGAGGCAACACCACCCAATACTTCTATCCGTTGCTGTCATCTTCCAATACTCTGGCCACTCCCTGTTGTCCACTGAAGACTGCAGCACCAGGCTCACCAGGTTCTTCATTATGTCTTACTCTTGGAACCAAGAATAGTTAAACATCTTTAAACACAACTGAGACAACATTCTGGCCTCTGATATTGAGTTCCTCATTTCTAAACACCTTTCCTTCTATTCCACCTCTGCCTATGCATATACTATTGACCAACACTAATTGTACCCTTGAAATTTTGATTTTTTAAATTCCATTTACTGATTGTTGTTCTTATTCTAAAGACTTGTAACCTGTAATGCTCCTTTCCCAATAATTTGTCATCCTCGGGAGATACCTAATCCTTTTCCCTATCAGTTTTTCTTATTTTCCTTCTTTCCTCATATCTGCCCATTTTTTCCTTAGCCAGATTAGATAATATGATCTAACATTCTAATCATTTTCCTTTAAATATATTCAACTCTTTTGTCTCTTCTATGTCAGTCTTAACTGACACACACAAGGATGGTTAAAGTCAACTGCCTAACTACTCCTTGCCTATACTGAACTAATAAAAAGACAGGAAAATTACACATGGTATGCTGCTAGTCTGTTTTTGGATCCTTAGACAAAATCTCTAATCGGCACTCTAATCTGCCCCTAATTTTACTGTAATTCTTCAATATGTGTGCTTGCCCTATCTTTAAAATTATACTTTATATATTTTCTGTTAACCCCCACTCTTAAAACCTGATTCCCACAATCCATTCTCAAATCCTGATTTTGTCTCTTACTTCACAGAGAAATTAGAACAAACTCCTGAACGCCTTTTCACTTAATCTACCAACTTGTGGTCTGTGCGCATGCTCTCCACTTAGCCTCCCAGGTCAGTGGCTGCTGTCCATATCTTAGGCCAGCTCTTCTGCTATGGCTATAAATTCAAAACCCACTCATCATGTCAAAGACTTCATCTCTTCAATTATATTCTCTTTATCAGCACCATCAACATCTTGGTTTTCTATCTCCTGTTTTTTTCTCATCAATGTACATACAGGCTCAAGCATCTCACATCTCATACAATACCTAAACAAACAAACAAACAAACAAACAAACAAACAAACACACACACACACACACACAAACATTCTTCCCTAACCCCAATTCCCTTCCTGGCTACTGCCCCATTGCTCTTCTCTCCTCTCTACAGCCAAAATCTCCAAAAGTATTTCAGTAGTCACTGTCTCCACAATTTTGTATCTCCTACTATCCTGCACTCATTTCAATTAGGTTATAACCCCACTGCTCCTCAGAAGTGGTAAGGAAGTTAAATGTAAGAAACTTTCCTGACTGTTGTATTTCTTGCCCTTTCAGAAGCATTCAACACAGCTGACTTCTCTGTCCTTCTCAAAATTACAGAGATTTACCTTCTGATGGTCACTTTACTTCATTAATTATGCTTCTCATTCTGTCTTGCCAGTTACTGGGTTGCCACTACTGTGCTCAGCGTGTAGATTTTAGACAGTTTCAGGGCCAGTATCAGACTCTCTACTCTTCCTTAGGGATACTCCCCACCTAAGGCCCATGGCTTAAGTGACATCTGTACATTGAAAGTTGCCAAATATATACCGCCACAGCTACTCTCTCCCCTTAACTCCAAACTCATATATTCCATCTCCACTTGACTATCAATGAGCCACTTATATTGTCCAAAGAATAATGCTTTTTAAATTCTTAAAAAATTTTAAAATTAAATTTATTGGGTGGCATTGGTTAGTAAAATAGTATATAAGAGGTTTCGAGAGTACAATTTTATAATACATCATCTATATATTGCATTGTGTGTTCACCACCCAGAGTCAATTTTCCTGGCATCACCATATATCTGACCCCCTTTTTCCTCTTCTGTCACCTCCCCCCACTTACTTTTTGGTAACTGCTAAACTTTTGTTTTTGTTTCTTTGTTTGTTTGTCTTACTTCCTTGTTGCTTTCAGTTTTATATCGCACATATAAGTAAAGTTAAATGAATCTCAACTTTTTCTGTCTAACTTATTTCACTTAGCATGATAATCTCAAAATCCATCTATGTTGTCACAAATGGCAGCATTTCATCTTTTCTTATGGCTGAGTAATATTTCATTGTAAATAGGTACCACATCTTCTTTATCCAACCATCTATTGAAGAACACTTTTCTTGTTTCTATGTCTTTGTCATATACACAATGGAACACTATTCTGCCATAAGAAAAGATGAAATACTGCCATTTGTGACAACATGGATGGATCTTGAGATTATCATGCTAAGCTAAATAAGTCAGACAGAAAAAGTCAAGAACCATATGACTTCACTCATATGTAGGCTATAAAACTGAAAACCACAAGGGAACAAGACAAACAAACAAAGAAACAAAAACTCAGACACAGACAACAGCTTAGTGGTTACCAGAGGATAAGTGCAGAGGGCGTGGTAAAAGAGGGTAAAGAGGGTCAAATATATGGTAATGGAAAAAGAGCTGGCTCTGGGTGGTGAGCCCACAATGTGATATATAGATGATGTATTATGAAAATGTACACTTGAAACCTATATAATTTTACTAACCATTGTCACCCCAATAAATTTAATTTAAAAAAAAGAAAGAATTTGCTGGCATATAGTTTTTCATAGTATTCTTGTGTGATCCTTTGTATTTCTGTGGTATCCATCACAACTTCTCCTCTTTCATTTCAGATTTTGTTTATTTGTGTCTTTTCTCTTTTTTGCTTAGTCTAGCCAGGGGTCATCAATTTTATTAATCTTTTCAAAGAACCAATTCTTTGTTGCATTAATTTTTTCTATTGTCTTTTTATTTTCTATTTTGTTTAATTCTGCTTTAATTTTCAGTATTGCCTCCCTTCTGTTGACTTTGGGCTTCATTTGTTCTTCTTTTTCTAGTTCTTTAACATGTGACGTTAGGTTGTTTACTTGGGATTTTTCTTGTTTCTTGAGATAGGCCAGTAATGATATATATATTTCTATCTTATTACTGCTTTTGCAGCATCCTAGTATTTTCATTCTCATTTGCTTGTATGTATCTTTTGATCTCTCTTGTATTTTTCTTTGACCTAATTGTTCTTAGTATCATGTTGTTTAATCTACAGGTATTTAAGTTTTTTTCTGCTTTCTTTTTGTAATTGATTTCATGTTCAAAACATTGTGGTTCGAAAACATGCTTTGTATGATTTCAATCTTTTTAAAATTTGTTAAGGCTAGTTTTGTGTCACAACATATATGTCTATGTTTGTGAGAATGTTCCATATGTACTAGAGAAGAATGTACAATCTGGTGTCTTGGGATGAAAGGCTCTATAAATGTCAGTTATGTCCATTTGGTCTAATGTGTCATTTAAGGCTGATACTCCTTATTGGTTTTCTGTTTGGTGATCTATCTATAGCTGTCAATGGTATATTTAGGTCCCCTACTATAGTTGTATTTGTGTCAGTTTCCCCCTTTAGTGTTGTTAGTAGTTGCTTAGGCACTGTCTTAATAGCAGAAACACAGAGGGGAATGAGATATACAAGGCCCTTCCTCTAGTGGAGCTTTCCCCTCCTCCTCCCCCTCCCCCTCT